TATATATATTAATACATACACCCCATAGACATGAAGCACACAACATAAGATCATATGGGTAAGGGGTTATCATCGGGCCTTAACACAGGTCAAGCCAAGAGGAACTCCTCCATTATGATTTATGATTATTTCCATTTGTAGGCTTAATATTACAAATACAAGGCTTTTTTTATTATCATGCGGAGATAAAGGATGACAAAGTTTAATTTGAGGATCCCATGAAAATGTTGACAAGCTGGTTAGTGATTCATCCTTATAATGCAGCGAAGGCTCTTTCCTTCCAGGAGATAGTCAAAAGCTTTGTTGATGTCCTCAAGCCCCACTTCATGCGATATGAAGTCATCTATGTTAAGCTTCGACAGAGAGTGAAAGCAAACATACACATAAATTACATAATAATTTTTCGATATCAAAATAAGTTATTTTTAAGGAAATTGCTTGTTTGTCCCTGTAGGTAAATATTGTTGATTTTTTGTGATTTCAATTAATAATCCATTTTTAACAAGTCGTGCATTTAAAACATATATATTATTGAAATTTTAACCCATTTTGGTACGAAATGTTATTATAATTGAAATTTTGACACAGGCAGCTCTATTGTTCTTGATTCTCTAATCTATAATTTTGAGCTTAAAATTAGTAGCAATGCATGTTTACTAATTAAATATATAAAACTTACTTTGTCTAAATACGTCTTGGCAAGGAAGGGAACATCAATTTTGGGTTTGATGCCTCCAAAAAATGATCCAGTTACAGTTTTTCCTCTCAGTAGGGCATAAGGGCTTAGAGACAGTGGCGAGCCGTGCATGTCCACTCCCAATATAATTGTCTTTCCCCAACCCTGGTCCAAAACAAACCAATAAAAATAAGTGTATAGAAAACTTAAGTAAAGGGAAAGCAAAAAAAGAAAAAAGAAAATGCATAAACTAAAGAAACAATTTAGTAAATTCTAAATTCTTTTAAGGTGTATTTTGAAGTGATGAAAAATGTTGAATAAGCTTCAAATTAGTTTACGAAATTGCATCCAAATTGAAAGAGGGAGAGAACAGACATCTCGACTGCTATTAAAAGCGTCAGCCATTAAAGAAGCCAAGCCTATGCACTCGAAGCAATAACCAGCACCTCCATCCGTCATCTCCTTAATCACCTGAGAGAGAAAAATTCGTATTCATAATATTTACATTATTTAATTAATTATCCTTCGTCAATGCGAGTTAAAATAAAAGACCTCGTAACCCCAAGCGTGTGGTTCAGCGGTAGGGGTTGATCCACGCTTAAGCAAGGTCAGGGGTTCGAATCCTGCCTTGTGTATGCAGCCGCGTTAAATCTTGGGGCCAGCTATCCCACCCTTTGAGGTGCCTCCAACGTAGCGAGGAGATTAGTCACTGCTGTCGGCGGTGGATACTCCAGGAACGAACCTAAAAAAAAAAAAATAAAAGACCTCGCTCACGGACTTCTCTTTCTCTTTGCAATCGGAAGGATTCACAAAATCAGTGATTCCAAATCTTTTTCCTGCGTAAGATAAGTGACACTTCTCAACACCAAAACACGATACAAATATATTTTATTAACAAAAAAGGTTCATTAGCCAAAAATACCTATTTCAAATTTTTCGGGATTCAGATCGATGCCAATGATCTTTGACGCCCCTCGTTGCTTTGCTGCTACAGCAACCTATACATCATTTCTTATGTCAATTTTTTAATAACTATGAACCTTGATTCAAAAACGGAATTAAGTAAAAATGATACTAAAAAACTAAAAGTTTAACAGTTATTGCAATTTTTTCCCTTTGACAAAAATATTTTTACAAGCATAATTAAGAGACAAAATTTTCAAAATGAAGTGTTGATGAGATAAAGTTAACTTTACTTGGCAAAATTAAACTTACAGCCATGCCCACGGTACCAAGCCCAAAAATAGCCACTGTAGATCCTTCTTCTACGTCAGCAACCTTCCATACCGCCCCAATCCCTGCAAGTGAAAGGGTAAATCTAATTAGAATTTCAAGTTAAGTAGTTTCCAACTTTACACATTCCGACCAAACTATCTAATTAAGATTGTTTTATTCGTAAATAACTAAAGTAATATCGAGAATTATTTCTGTTCATAATTCACTCAAGTTGACTATCCATAACCAAACTCTCAAATTGTTAACCACACTCATTTTACATAGTTTCATGTGGAGTGTCTCTTCTATATTAGTTTATAATAAATGGATAAAATTTAAGTGTAGTGTTTTAGCATGTTTTTTTTATATTATTTTAAATTATAATTATAATTTTTAAATGAAAAAATCATTATGCAAATTATTAAGTTGAGATTCTAATTTTACAAGAAAAGAAACAATTATAAGGAAAATTGGAAAATTACTTTTAAAACAACTTTAATTACTTAGTATTCTCTTAGGTATTGTTTTGATATGCCTAAAAAAGTTTCACATTGCTTAGAGGAAAATTCTGTCATTCTTACTTCTTAGTCATGACTATGAAATTTGTTATAATCTGTCTAAAAAGAGTTTCACATAACTTAGAAGTTAAATAATTTATAAATATCCTCCCTCTCGAACTTATAATAGAAACATGTATAATAAGAGATGGATAAATTAGTTTATTTATTTTAATCCCATACCTTGTAGAAATTAGAATAATTCATATTATAATTTGGTTTAAAAAAAATTACGAGTCAATTTATCTCGTAACCTTTAGTTCTCATGTAACTTTGTGTTCCTTTAATTACAAATATAATTTGATAATGATATTTAAAGTAATTTTTATATATACTAATAATGAAAAAGTTAGTAATCATACTAAAGATTTTTTTCTCTTGTAAGTTGTAACAGGTTGATCTTAAAAAGGAAATCAATTGAAGTGAGATATTTTGCAGTGAATGGAAAAGTTGAGAGGTTTGATTGAGTTTGTAGTTAACCTGTGGAAACTCCGCAACTAAGCAAGCAAGCTTTATCAACAGGAAGGTCATGGGTAATTTTGACAACATGGGTCACATCCACCACCGTGTACTCAGAGAAGCTGCTAACATGCAAGTAATGGTGCACCACTTCTCCTTTCATGTCCCTGAACCTGCTCGTTCCATCTCTCGGCATTTTATCAGTATAAACGTTCCCGAATTTGGTGCACTGGTTACTCTTTGGGCTCTTGCAGTCACTGCATTCTCCACAGTTTGCTAAGAACACTGGCACCACCAAGTCCCCCTCTTTCACCTCTTCCACATGCTCCCCCACGCTCTCCACTACTCTGTTGCTTCCAATACACCCAATTTTATCAAACACACCACAACAATTACATACAAATTTCAAGTTATTAATCATTACCCCACAGCTTCGTGTCCGAAAATCCTTGGAAATTTAACCAATGGCCCCTGAGCAAACATAAATTCATATAAGATCCCCATCTGAAAAGTTTATTAATCAAATCTTAAGAACATAAAATTGATTGATCGGTCATTATTCCTTAGCTACACTTACCGAATCCATTTTCCACATGCTTACATCAGAGTGGCACAGAGTTGTACATAAAATCTTGATCCGGACCTCCCAGGCCTTTGGTGGATCCAACTCAACTTCCTCTATTATAAGAGGTTCCCCTGCTTTTCTGCATATTGCAGCTGTTTCAAGTCACCATCAACACTGATTAGATATATATATATATATAGCATAACATATAATACACACATCTGGATAGGAAGAACCTTTGCATCTTATTGGCTTGCCAATGCTTTCTTTGATATTGCTTCTGCTCGCCATGGCTTCGGAGGAATTCAGGTTTGTGTGGCTAGAACAAAACATGATTTGTAGAAAAAATAAGAGAGACGAGATAATACTAATGTTGTGGGTGAACGTAGCAACTCACTGTGCTTTTCATTGAATAAGGGATGACATTTAAATAGCCATTGTACAACGTACCGAATTAACAAAAACTTCTCAATAATTTCTTTAAACTTTTTTAGTATATGTTATGTTATGTTATGAATTTTTGTTTTCAGTCTCTGAACCATATTTTTGTCTTTGAATTTATGATATGTTATGAATTTTTATTTTTAATTTTTGAATCACATTGCGGTATTTTGTTGAACGTATGTATGTAGTTGGCATTTTGGAACGGCCCGTTCTAAAACCAGAACGGCCCGTTCTGGTTTCAGAATGGCCCGTTCTGGATTCAGAACGACCCGTTCTGCTGCACTCGTGGTGTGTTAATTTTGCATCTGGAACGGCCCGTTCTAAATTTAAAATTAACACACAACATGTGCAACCAGAACGGGCCGTTCTTGTTTCAGATGCATTAATGAAATTTGACATCCACCTATACATCTACGTGGCATCCACGTGGCCAACAGTTAACTCCGCTTAAATAATTTGGACGGAAGTCCGACATTGCAACAATTTAATTTATTAGGGACCAAATTGAGACCAAAAATTAAAGTGAGACTAAATTGAAACAAATAATTATAATAAGGGACTAAATTAGGTTTTTAGCCTAATTAACATTAAATTTAA